ACCAGTTCTTTGAAGTCAAAAGCAGCAACAGTTTGACTCTAAATAAAGCTGTTTATCATTATGTTTAGGCTTTTGAGGGAATTTTGGATTCTCGACTCCCATAGCGCCCTGCTCGCTGAGGAGGCTGTTTACGCCGGGTGCTGACAGGCGTCCTGCTTGATCTGATTACAAGTGAACAGGCAAGTGCAGGTGTAAATGTATTTGGGACAGATTGGGGACACGTTCAGACACAATTGCTCAGGTCACATTCAGAGGAGGTCGGAGAGGATTTGTGGTTGTATTCTTCTATGTGTCCTTCACTTAATGTGGCTCCACAAAAGGTTCTGTATTCCTAGCTTGATTTGTTTTTTTTTCTTTTAAGAGAAGGCATTGTTCAAACGCACAGCAGATATGAATAGAAAAGCTGCCAGCTTGTTATATAACCAACACTGGTGGTTTATATATGTTTGTTTTTTCGTGCCTTAAAGACTGAAAAGAAAGTCGGCAACATCACTAATCTATTTCAGCTCTTTGCACTTCTCGTTGTATTTCTGACAGAGGGGGTATTGATGGCGCGAAGGCAGCACTTCAGTCCATTTAGATCATTGTGTCTCTGCTGTTTTATTTTTTCTTCCTTCGGCTTGTGATCTGTTCTGCACGAAGGCTTTACTGATCCTGCTGGGTGTTAATTATGCAACACCTCAACAGCACTTTGATTTCCATCTGCTGACTCCTGGGACGCTGGTTAAACCCTCTCGAGGTGGTTCTGCTGAGCTGCTGGCCATATGGAACCATAATGAGTAACCTCCTGCTACAACTGGCCACGGAGCTGGATGGAATCTGTTACAGCTCGTTCTGTCCATTTCTGGTGGTTTTGTTGTGCATTAATGTCTTTCATTTTAGTCATTTGAGGTCAGAGTTGAATGTGGCGATAATTWAAAAAAATAAGTGATCAAATGCTGCTGTGTGTAATTATCATTGACAAAATATGCATTACAACGCGCTCAACTTTTGTTCAGAATCAGCTTCCTCTCACTGGTAACAACGCAGCTTTCCTCTCACTCATTCCCGCAGCTTCACAGTGTTCCGAGGTTCTCAAACTGGGGTCCCAGGACCTCCAGGGGTCCACGAGTGGTATCTTGGGGGTCCTCAGAAAATTTCACTAAATTGTTAATTTGGTTTTTATTTTTAAAAATACATGGAAAACAATGAACTAATAAAACAAACATAATAAAACTTAATAAAAATATATATTCCCATGATATTTACGGGTTGAAATTACAATAAATTATCTTTTAAACAGTAGGGGGTTTATGAGGGGGTCCCTGGAATTTTTTTTCGCCCTTGTAAGGGGTCCCCAGACCCAAATGGCTTGAGAACCCCTCAGTCCACAGAGTTCAATAGCAAAGCAAAAAGTGCAGCGAAACGAGACAGGTCATTGGATAAATACTGGCTTTGTCCCGCCCATCGGACGCTCAGCGTGTCTGGGGGTCTATGGGGCAGTGGGCTGGCCTCGGCTGGCCCGGACGCTCAGTTTCTGCATGATGACTGGATGATCTGTCTGAGGCTGAATCCCTTTTTTGATTGACAGCAAAATAAGCGWATCAGCGATCCGTGGGATCATTTTTTAGTTTCATTCTGTTCTGAGTTGAACCGGAGACGTTATTAATCCTTTTAGCAGCATTTTTCTTTGCTAAAAACGACTGGCGACAAATCGAGCTTCTATTTCTGGTGGTTGTTTTGTAGCTGCTTGTGTTTGGAGACTGACTTCTTTCGCAGTTTCTGTCCAGCAGGTGCTGCTGAACCCCACCACCGTCACAAAGCACATCACAGACAGACACACTTCACACTAGCCTCGCGCCAGTCCCAGCTAGAGAGCTTGCTAGGTAAAAAGCTGCACATAATTGCAGAGAGTTTGAATGTTGTGGACTGGATTTTGGCGAAACCATTTGATAGTCTTCCTTACAAAGAAAAACTTAGAGTTAAACAGCAGGGCTGATCAACTCCTCAGATTAATTTGGTGCAAAAGGTGGGCAAAAGTAACAGCTCCTTTCTGCTGACTGGAAGTGCTGTAAAATGATCTGTGACAGGGTCACAGATCATTTTCTTGAAAAGGAACGGAGGGTAGAATTTACATATAAATAAACCGACACATTTTATGATGTAGKCTGAAATTGAGCTTCCCCTTCTTGAAAGACCAACATCCGCCACTGGAGTTGAAGAATATCGAATTTGTTGTTCATGAATTAAGTCTTATTTCATAACCTTTGGTACTTTCTATATGTAAATATTACAAATTCATTGAAGATTTTAAACAAAGTTGAAGGTGYCATGATTCTTTCATCATTGACAAAACTTTTTTTCTGAGCTGTTTTCTGCATTAAAGGGGACATATCCTGCAAAATCCACTTTGTAGCTGTTAAATACATTTTGTTGTGGACTTTGAGTCTACTCTCCTGGTGCTGAAAAAAAATATCTTTATATACTGTTTGGGTCAGATTGACGTTTTCTGAACTATTACGTCTAATTATCTGCGACGGAACTACCAAATAAGGTTTGGACTTACCGACTACAATTTCCTTGTCTTAATTCCCCTCTGGTTCTGGGTCAGACTCTGGTTCTGGGTCAGACTCTGGTTCTGAGTCAGACTCCAACATGTAAGGCTGGATGGACAAGTCTTGTGTTGTTGACATCTTTTAATTAAATTGTAAATAAAACATTTCTGTAAGCTAGAAAACGTAACCCCTCTCCTAAACCGGAGTRGACTGGTCTGGAAGCCGGAGGGGGCGGGGCTTGAAGCGTCTTAAAGGGAACAGTAACAAAACCAGCTGCTTTGAGACACGCAGCAGAAAATTTGTGGAAGAGGAGCTGGTAAAGTTCGGATAAAGAATTCAAACCAAAGCATTGTAGTTTCATTTTAAAAGCATCTCTACTGTAAGTGCAAATAAAGTCATTTTTACATGCTTTTGCTTTTTGCATTTAACAAACACATCCTAACTTGTAATACATTTTTGATTGTATTGCTATTTTTTATTTTATTTGGAGGAATAGGTTGTAAACAGGAACATGCATGGTATTCGCAATACTTGTGAGAATTCAGTCAACTCCAGAGTTTGTTGGTGTTTTAAAATCTTAGTTCTCTGGTTTTACAGGATGAAAGTCACACGCTGATATTGCTGCAGAAAACATTTAGCTTTACAAAAAAATGAGATGTTTAAAAATGACAGCTTTTTGACAAGATCAGCATGTCGAATATGTATGAAAAAGAGTAGGACGCCCAAGGACACTAGTTCCCAGCTTGTGAAAGGTATATTTGATTAAGATGGATTAGYCTTTCAGCTGCTCACTTTTTAGCAGTCTTTGTCTTCAGTGTACTGTGAAACACTGGGGAATCAGAGGCAGCTATCAGATACAAAGCAGGTCCAACAGCCTTTTAAAGYATGACAAGTTTGACAAGAGGATGATTTTTGTATTGACTCAGAACAAATATTTTATTCAGATATCATTACATATTTTATCTGTAGGCTAAATAATTTACTGTATGGATGCCACGAGCGGAAAAGGGGGATTATTTACTTTGTGTYCCTGTGCAATACTATTATTTTACCTCGCAAAACRTTTTGCGTTCTCTCTCAAAAGCTGTTTATCACKGTTGTGCTGCCAGTTKATKAACAAATTCACGTGCTAATTCAGTTTTGGATTGTTTAATATGCAGATATTTTAACTCTGTGCAGCCACAAAATATAACCGTCAGTTTCCCGAACTTGYTTTGTTTTGGGAACCGGATATTTCAAAATAAAAGTCTGATTTAATCCAGTTCAGAGAAAACACATTTTTGCGCGGGAACACAGAACAAAATTGCGAGGGAATGCAAATGTTTGCGAGGTAGCGCAAAAGTATAGCATGGGCACGCAAAAGGAATAAAAATCCCCTTCCCTTGCAGGTTCCATTTCACCAAGATGAGTCACATTAAGTATTTTTTATATTTTAAACTGAAACATCTAATCTGAATTTATAATTTGCAACTAAATAATTATTCAGTTCCTTCTTAACTTATAAGACTCAGTTTTATGCCTTCATCGCTAGTATTAAGTTTATCTAGATGAAAAGAGAAACAGTCTTATGAAGAGTTACACAAAATRCAAATGGGGAATGTTGAAATAGTCAACACTATCCCATCTTCGGCCACTTTGCGTCAGCCCCACTTTTCTTTTTGGTTGTTAATTTGAAATCACAAAAGAAACTGCAAACAGAATCGATTCAACCGGGTCACCCAAAGTTTAGGCTTAAACACATGCTGCATCAAAATGCCAATAATGTTCAGCTTTCAACATATTTCAACTGCCATTTTTAGTGTTTGCTGAAAACAATTGGCAATAATAACCAACTCGTCAAAACAAATGATAATAGACCAGTGGTGCTAACATAACTGTCATGAAGGTTTTACATGTTTCATCTGATTTGGATTAATAAGTGAATAACAGGTGTCTGCAGAATCTGAACACATGCTGAAGATCAAGGAAAATTTGAAAAAATACAGAAAAGTGGTCTGAACTTGTCAACGTAATAATTGTGATTTTTTTGTTTGTTTTGTTTTGTTTAATCAATGGGGATTATATGGATGGCAGTGAACAAGAAGTAATGTTTATGTCCAAGAATGCAGCATGAATATAAGTTATGCTATAAAACTGGCATTTTAAAACACAGTTCAGATCAGGCATTATAGAAGAGAATGATGAACGTCTTTTTATTATGAAATTGTACAAATGTGATGGGTCGTATTTAAAAAACCTGAATTTTTTTTTAACATTTGTTGCACTGTTCAGAACAGAACAAAGTTGTCTGAAAAGAACTTCACCAACAAAACTTGAGAAAAAGCAGTTCCAGGTTTCCTTCCTGAAACACACGACACCAGAGTCATTTCTGAGGACTCTTGGTGTGTCTGATTAAAAACAGTGTCTTGAAACAGTGAAAGACCTTTTCCTTTAATCGTGTTCCTGGGTTTTCTGCTGTGTTTTTAGCACTGAATACGACAGAGGAAAAGACGACGTGCCCGCTTGGATATTTCCCCTGTGGCAACTTGACCGTTTGCCTCCCGCAGCTGCTGCACTGTAACGGCATAGACGACTGTGGGAATCAAGCAGATGAGGAGAACTGTGGTGAGTGACTCGTTCAGYTTGGAGCAAAACTGATGACCTCTTGTTGACGCACACACAGACACACACAGACTRCTTGCTCTGCAGTGTAGCTTGATTGACTCCTCTGATATACTTTGTGTTGTGAACTGTATTATGCGAAATTGGACATGCTACTGTTTAGGAGTGTTGTGAGACTCTGTGAATTTGTAAACTTTGCAWCCAGAATATGAAGTAAAATGTTCCCTTGCAGTTCATGTGGTCTTGTCTCAMTATACATCCACTGGCCACTTTATTAGGTACACCTTGCTAGTACCGGATTGGAACCCCTGCCTTCAGAACTACCTTAATCCTTTGTGGCATAGATTCAACAAGGTACTGGAAACATTCTCTTAGAGAATATGGTCCATATTGACATGATAGCATCACACAGTTGCTGCAGATTTGTCAGCTGCACATCCATGATGTGAATCTCCTGTTCCACCACATCCCAAAGGTGCTCTATTGGATTGAGATCTGGTGACTGTGGAGGGCATTCCAGTATAGTGAGCTCATTATGTTCAAGAAACTAGTCTGAGATGATTCACTTTATGACATGCAGTGTCATCCTGCTGGAAGTAGCCATCAGAAGATGGTACACTGTGGTCATAAAGTCATGGACATGGTCACCAACAATAGTCAGGTAGGCTGTGGCGTTGACACAATGCTCAGTTGGTACTAATGGGTCCAAAGTGTGCCAGGAAAATATCCCCCACCCCATTGCACCACCAGCCTGAACCGTTGATACAAGGCAGGATGGATCCATGCTTTCATGCTGTTGACACCGAATTCTGACCCTACCATCCGAATGTCGCAGCAGAATCAAGACTCATCAGACCAGGCAACGTTTTTCYAATCTTCTATTGTCCAGTTTTGGTGAGCTGTGTGAACTGTAGCCTCAGTTTCCTGTTCTTAGCTGACAGGAGTGGCACCCAGTGTGGTCTTCTGCTGCTGTAGCCCATCTGCCTCAAGGTTTGACATGTTGTGTGTTCAGAGATGCTCTTCTGCATACTTCAGTGGTAATGAGTGGTTATTTGAGTTACTGTTGCTTTTCTATCAGCTTGTACCAATCAGTCTGGCCATTCTCCTCTGACCTCTGGGATCAGCAAGGCATTTGCACCCACAGAACTTCTGCTCACTGGATGTTTTCTCTTTTTTGGACCATTCTCTGTAAACTCTAGATATGGTTGTGGGTGAAAATCCCAGTAGATCAGCAGTTTGTGAAATGCTCAGACCAGTTCTTCTGGCACCAACAACTATGCCTCGTTCAAAGTCACTTAAATCACATTTCTTCCCCATTCTGATGCTCAGTTTGAACTGCAGCAGATCATCTTGGCCATATCTACATGCCTAAATGCATTGAGGCCATGTGATGGACTTGCGACCTGTCCAGGGTGTACCCCGCCCCTCGCACTGTGACTG